CGCTAACCGATCAGACGTGCCCGAAGACTTCAACAACGTGAACAACAGCGCGAAAATTCAAGCATTCACATTTTCTGATAAGAGTCGTAGTACCGAGTCGAAAGCTCAAAACATTTAAATTACATGCGATCTAGAGAACACTATAATTTGTAATTTGTATATATTTGCTTGCAAATACGAGTTTTACGTCTGTCGTTTTGCTATAAATATTAGCGATAAGGAAATAGATCTAGTTAAAGGTGTGGAGGAAATATATTATATCTGATGTTTTTTACTTAGATTTTTATAATTTTAGAGGTTCTAGGCTATATTTGCATTTTTTGCGGCTGCTCAGGTTTAAAAAGCTATATATAATTTCCTTTTGAAATTTCCTTCATCAAAATCACTTCAACCGACATTTTAGTTATGTTGAAAAAGAAGGTCAAAGTCTTGATCCTTTATTAAAACTTTTGAGCTTTATTTATTTAGGTCAGTCACATTCAAACAGAGTAGTTACCAAGAGATAAGAAAAATGATTTTTATTGCAACAAAGATCATTGTTGGCATTCATGTCTTGGTGTATTTTGGTACGAGTCTGGTCGTTTGTAATGAAGATATCCCGTTTTGTGACAAGCGGTTGAAAGAACTGAGAAAAGACGAGAAAGACTGGAGTGAAAGGTGCTTGAATGGTGAAGGTGAAAACCTTGTTACACCGAGCTGTGAAGCAAAGAAAGAATACAATCACGAGAGGATGTGTGTGTACACAAAGATATGCTTTTATAAAGGTAATAATATTAGACTGTATCAAAATAAAGTCCAATGGTAGTATAATGCATATAGTTCCAGGAGAGAATCTATATTTTCGGTTGCAAAAAGCATTTCTTTAATTAAAACGCATCATGCATGCTGACTATAGAATAATTTCAGTAAAGTCCAGATTTGCTTTCATAATTCCTTTTAAAACATGTGGAAATGCCTGTGTGATGTTACTCTGAGTGTATCCACACCGGGCAGGCTTGAAAAACATGCCTCGCCACGGTGGGAATCGAACCTACGACCTTTGGAATCAGTACTAGCCCAATGCTCTGCCAACTGAGCTATTACACTGATATCGAAGGAACTATACTCAGTTCCGAAACATCGCATATTTTGAAGCCTGCCCGGTGTGGATATACACTCAGAGTAACATCACACAAGCATCTTATTCACCTGAGTACATTACACCAACACAGCAAATATCATGATTATTAGATTACACTGATATCGAAGGAACTATACTCAGTTCCGAAATATCGCATACTCGAACCGACCTGACCGCGTAGCTCAGTTGGCAGAGCATTGGGCCAGTATTCCAAAGGTCGTAGGTTCGATTCCCACTGTGGCCAGGCATATTTTTCAAGCCTGCCCGGTGTGGATATACACTTAGAGTAACATCACAAGAGCATCTTATTCGCCTGAGTACATTACACCAACACAGCAAATAACGTGTGGAAATATTTTGACAATTTAAAAAGAATACTGTTGAACCAAAATTTTTCAAGTTAGGTAAATGTGATTATTCATAATATTTTTTTTTTGACTTTCCAGAATTTTTCGGGTTTTTATTCGGTGGTTTTTGATTCGCTAAAATACCATGTTTTCTTGTATATATTCACAAGATTGACATTTTTAGTAGGATCCTTGTTAAAAAAATTTAATAACGGTTGAGCAATTGCGATTGTTCCTGTAACTCGTAAAATGGCTAGATGGAGCCATATGGGGGAAAGGTAGCATATTGCACTTGTCATATCTTGGAAATGAGTTTTTCTCTTTTTACTATGAGCATATCATAAACTTCAGCCCTGGGACGTTTCAGCAAATTCGCATTTCCAGAGCAATTACTGATGAATCACCTGAAGCGCTTGTGTTTATAAAGCGATCTTATAACAACAGTTCAATGCATGAACTCTACAAATAGTTTGTACTGATACGTCACTCTTTCTCCAGGACCCTATGCTGAGCCTTACTTGCTGATCAAATCAAAGTCTGAAATCCACGCCATTGATTTGACAACCCTAGACACAACTGTCATCATCGGTGGAATTGCAGGCAGGACGATGGATATTGACACAGTGGACAACAAATTATACATTGCAGACAACAACAGCATATCCCGGGTGAACTTGGATGACATATGCGTAGAAGTCATTTTGCAAAATGTTAGTGTTCGTGACATGGCAATTGACTTGCTAAGATCTAGTCGTCGTATATTCTGGACTGAATATTTAGAAAAGCAGATCTTCGTTGCGGATTTGGGTGATAAAAAGAAACGAGTGCTTATGAAAACAACGAATTACCCGTCCCGTATAGCATTTGATGCAAAATTGAAGTAAGTTTTACGATTTGAAGAATATCTTTATAATGTGTTGTTTGAAGACGAATCATTGCGAACCGTGGCGTGGCGGTGGTTACGCTTTTTTTTGGCTGAGTCCCACTTCAGTGTGGTTTCTATTCTGTGACGCAGAGATTATTCTTAGCCTATCAAGTCGAATCAATGAATCACTAAAAAATTATACGATCACATCAGCCACGTCGTTCCAAACCCCCTAGAGTTCAATGTTCCAAACGTGGGTTCTAATTAACGCGTGCGCTTTTGCACAGTAATGGGAGCCAGCCACGTACTGTCTACTGGCTTTCCTTCCCAATTGCTGTTGTGCTTAATTCTAATCTTTTTATATTGGAATGAAGCACTTTCATGCAGAACATTTTTCTTTCAAAGGCTGGCGGGAGGTAGACAATTTGTACTGTATCAGGGCGCACTGATTTGTAGGCCTATCTATCGATGAAAGCAAAACCTATTCACTATCCAGCTAGCCGGCACGGTGTGACATTGATCAATAACATGGTAAACTCATGCATCCACAATGCGTGTGTTTAGAATCTTTAAAATCAGTTCTGAAAATTTATATTTCAAATTGATTACAGAATACCTTTCCTACGGCCGTTCGGCATTTTCCTAGGAATATATAGTAAGATATAGTCCAGGGTTCGAAATAACGGTTCGTGATTCGTGAATCACGAATCAATTTTCATTTTTCACGAACCCAATTTCATAGAAATTGATCAAAATCACGAATCAAAAGTCACTCAAATTGATAAAAATATACAATAATAAATTCAGTTCTTTGTAAATGTGATGAAGGATCATACATTCTGAAGATATTCTTGTTAGATTGTACTTAAAAACGATTATAATTCCACCCAAAATTATATTTCTTTGCGAGTTTGCGATGTATATTACATATTTCAAAATTGCAGTGCTTCCACTTTTTAACTTTCAATTGGAGAAAATTCCTTGAAAATTCCTTAAAATTTCCTTAAAATAAAAAAAATTAATTCACGAACCATTTTTTCAGAATTAATTCGAACCCTGTAGTCATTTAGTAGCAACATAGTTAACAAACAGCTAATCTGAAGAGAAGGAATTATAAAAAAGAATTCTAAGTTGTACCCGTCTTTTAACATTGTCGTCCCTCGTTGCTTCATAGGTATTTGTTTTGGACAGAGCCTATTGCAAAGTTTGTACGGCGAATAAATTTGGTTTCTAATGACATTGTAACGTTTGCAAGCCGGAAGTTCTCTAAGTCCTACGCCATTGCTGTTGATTGCACCAAGAAACGGGTTTACTGGCTCGAGAACGAGATTCAATCCGGCGTTCACCATATTTTTTCAAGTGATTACTATGGCTACGACCAGAAAAGTATTGTAAGTGGATCATTGAATGATTATTTACTCGGCGTGTTTGGAGGTTCACTCTACTACCTGAACAACGATTTATTCTCTATAAATGAGATGAATGTATGCAACGGAACTATATCCCGTAATATTCTGGTGGACAACAATACATATTATGATGACCTGGTCGTTGTACATAGCTCTATACAGCCTCAAGAGCGACTGGGTGAGTTATAATCATAATAATATGGAGAGGAATGTGGCAATTATAGACCTATCTCTATCTTGTCCGCTATTTCTAAACTTTTCGGAAAAATTGTATTCGATCAGTTAAACCAGTATCTTATTACAAACCAGATACTAACTCCAAATCAATCAATCAGGGTTTAGAAAAGGGTATTCTACTTGCTTTTCTCTGTTAAGAACAACCAATGAATGGTTGGTAAATATGGATAAGGGATTAATTAATGGCGTTGTCTTCTCAACCTCGTACCCAGGCTATTTTCTCTTGTGCTCGGTGCACGGCCACCTGCTGAGAAAATACCCTGGTATTGTCTGGTCACGTGTCTCCCAGAATCTGGGAGGTAACAATGAATTTCTATTAGGGTGGGTAACTAAGTAGCGTTTTGTCATTGAGCAAGGAGTGAGCGAAGAAATAACGCAGAAATCATGCGGGAAATATTTACAAGATTGTATATTTTATTTATCATGAATACTATCCAGTTACACAATAAGGAATATCAAATTTCATTGTGCGCAGAATGACGATGAGCAAAGATAGATCAGATTTCAATAGACAAATTATGCTACACGGCTCGTCGAAGAAATCACACGTCGTGGCAAACGTTATAAGAAAATATATTTCTACACCGACCGATGTGGCTTTTATTTAGCTGTTGATGTCTATTCTAAAGGATTTATTTAATACTGAGATGTGGAATTGTAACGAAATAGAGAGATCTTTTGATTTCTGAAATATCGCAAACTACAAACGGAACAAACCTTGCTTGTAAACAATTATGCTACTCGGACTGTCGACAATTAAAAGCGCTGTGAAATTTCCAACATTGTCACGGACTTCGCTGAAACTTGATGCTCAAGAAATATGTCGAAGTATTTAGTATACTTCCCTGTTATCAGACTTACGGTAAAAAAATCCGACAATAGCCTCAAAGATATTAAGTCAAAGACTCTTCTAGCTGTGTCACCTGAGTCACCTGTGTGTATCAGTGTATGTTTTATACAGATACTAATACTGTATGTGACTGCATATTTGTAATTTATGTTTGACATTAGAGAATACAGACCACATGTATTTAGAGAATACAGACCACAAATTTGATAAATAGCTTTAATTGTGACATTGGCTTTACTGTGTTAATTTGTTGATCGATGTTTTATAAACTGTCGGTATACGCGAGAAATTGTTACTTTGTGAAATATAATACTGACTTTATATTATGCATGCTGGTGTGGGACACTGCATGTTATTCTGTTTAGATATCAATATAAGACATGTATAGTGTTAATTAGCCTACATGTAGTTAGAGTCTAAATATGTTGCACTAGAGATAAACGGCCCCATTGCTTAATTCATGGAGGCAGAATTGGGGAAAAAAGGCTAAAGGCAGCCGTGATTGTATATACCGCCTGAAATACGCATTTCCCTGAGGCTGAGAATTTTTGTACATTCATCTGAAAATTTGTATACTTTATTATCTGCCAACTTACATCTTCATGAATGGCATTTGTAAAGATGCTGCGGCCAAGGAAATTGTATTTAATCTCTTTGTGAGGTATTGATAGCTCGGTGCACGTACATGTAAAAATAAGTGACCTTTTTGTAGGGCATATTGTAAACACTGGACTGGACTTTGGACTTTCGATTTTGAAATTATATTTTTAAAATATTCGTATAATTATATTAATTAAAATCTAAACAGAGAACGAAAATTTGTGCATGATACAATATTCAAGGTAAAAAATACTGTCAGTTATATAGGTATACCAGTGCAATTTCATAGATATAGCCTGTGGGATAACAGGATCATCTCAGTAATATTTTTAAGTTAATATTTAAATTTTATTATAATATTTGTATTTATAGTATGTATAGTACAGTTTATACTGCAGAACTTCTTTATCGTATATATAATAGATTTATAGAAACAATTGCGACAAAAGTAGCTTGGCAAATACAAAATATTGAGAAACTATCACGTATAAGTATAAACTACACGCGATTATTATTGCGCCTTTGGCTTTGAACAATTATTCGCCAAAGGCGAGGCCGTGATTATCCGGGAATTTGTAGTCTCCCTCGCAGCCGCCAGTTGTGTACGTTCTCTCTGATGTCTGCGAAGGAGGCTAGGGAATTTGTCAAAGTTGACCAATCAACTTGACAACTTGTAGGATTTGTTGTACTCAGGGCCGCCGAGAGGGGGGGGGGCAGAGGGGGCAATTTTTGCCCCGGGCCCCGAGTTGCTGGGGGCCCCTGAAAAATTTTTGTTGACCCCCAGCCTTTTTTGTGTGTTAAATATTTCCTCGCAAAGGACAAGATATCTGTTTTCTTGGGCTAAGTACCGAATTTTGGCATAAAAAAATGAGATAAAGTCCCTCGAAAGCAATTGCAACGTACTCGTCCGGAAAAATTTTGTACTCCGGAAAAAATTTTTTACCCCTAAAATGGTACAGTGACCGAAAATTTTTTGGCGACGGGGGGGGGGTAAACGGGAAAATTTTTTTAGATAGGGGCGCCTAAAAAAAAATTTGCCCCGGGCCCCCGCCAACCTCTAGGCGGCCCTGGTACTTGTACTATTTATTCACTTGCGCAAAAATAGGCCGGCAAAAATTTCGTTTACATCGGGTTTTTATTGGCCAAAAGTGTTTGTTTTGATTAAACAAACCGTGTATGATGACAATAGTGTTTGTTTTGATTAAACAAACCGTGTATGATGACAATGACGATGATCATGATAATCATGATGCATAACTAGGCCTACTATAAAAAGAAATTCAGGTCAACCCACCACAAATCAGTGTGTGTCCAACGAAAAATATTACAATGGCATATACAATAGACATGTTTCAAATGGATAAACCGATATACACTGCTAGATTGACAGGTTCCAGTGCTAGAAAATATTCGGCAGCGCCAACAACACCGCTGCCGGGAAATTTTTAACAAACTATCTTTGCAGGATATTTTCTTACACCTTACAGGAAATTTTTGTCATCTTACATGCCATATAATTTACTTATTGCTTAAAACTTCCAAAAGCATTTTGCAAGTCGAGATTCTCTTTTACCAAGATTGAAGTTCATCACAATGTGTGGCACCATACGTTCTCTGAAATCTGCAGGAAGTTCTATATTTGACTTGCACAGGAAATTTTTGTCATATATATATATATATATATATATATATATATATATATATATATATATATATATATATATATATATATATATATATATATAAAAAAAAT